TTGAATGTTTCAGCCGTTTGCTTGTTTACTTTACCTCATTCCTCCTTCATTTTTGTCAGCCTGTAACAATGCCGCTTTCCCTTCCGTCGTCTGTTTGTCAGTTAGGCATGATAACAAAAGATTCACAGTCTGTCCAGGTCTGCCTGTGTAGCAGTGTTAGGGTGGTCTTTGATGTAAGCAGTTCTTTATGAAGGTATTATATGTGATTGATGTGGGAACATCTGACAGTACACTCTGTTCTCAGATATTTATTTGTGAGTCGCTCATGCAGTCTCAAGAGATCTGTTGCTGCTAAACAGCCACTGAGCCGCTGGTGATGACTCCTGCTTTATGCTGCAGCCAAAAACCCCTGCATCTGCACTTTTTCCACACACTCTGCTGGCTCACGTGCTTATCACTCACTAAATGCTCATCAGTCACGGTTGTAAAATTTCAAGAAAATAAACATTTAATACTGTGATCAGCTTTATCAACCAGAGCTGAGCTGAGAATATTATACAGTCGTATCAGCTTTGGCTGTGACCACCATTTTTGACTCATCCACAATTTTGTGGCTCAGGGATAGAGCAGGTTGACCTCTAATTGCAGGGTTGACGGTTTGATTCCCAGTCTCCCAGGTCTACATGACAAAGCATCCTTGAACAAGATGCTGAACCCCAAATTGTTCCCGGTGGCCAGGCCAGGGCCTTGCATGGCAACTCTGTCACTATCAGTGAGTGAGTGTGTGCCTGGGTGAGTGGGTGAATCTGTAAAGTGCTTTGTCCAGGTAGGGTAGAAAAGCACTATACAGGTGCAGTCACTTGTTTCCCACTGAGGTTACAAAAGATCCAAAAATAATATCTCAATTTGCAGCAGCCAAAAAAGTGTTTCTCATTTCCTGTTAAAACCCCAAATCAGAAATAGGTATGGTTGAATGGTTTGGTCAAAATTAAAACTGAAAATGCTGATTTGTAAATCATCTGTTTCCTGTATTACATTGAAAACAATACAGCAGCACATTATTTGATGCGATACAAAATAAACAATTCTGATGCCTGTAACTTCAGAATTTACGTTTTAATTTTGATTTTACAATTAGATAATGAAAATGCCTATAATGTGATATTCATGGAATGAGAATGAACTGTTTAATAATCACTTGATTAAATCATCATCAGTAAGGTTGTTAAAAACCGGGTTTAAGATCGACAAACCTGCACCATCCCTGCCATGGCCTGTACAACTAGTCAGATTTAAAGGGCATGCCGTGGGGAAATGACAGTCTGCTTTCATTTTTCATGCACCCATACTCTCCTTATGAAAATACCAGCAGTTCTCTGGGGCTACTCGGTGCATCTAAGATGCAGAGCAGGAATTTGGCCAGGCTTACCTACAATTACATGCAGTACACACGCACGAGCTGACACACACTTGGATGCCTGTACATATTTACACACTGACAAAACCATGCACTCTGCCTTTCCATCTTTCTCTCTCATCAGCACTCTCCCAAACACACACAATCACCCACCCTTGTCCATCTGAATCAGGACTAATAAGCAGGTGAATTGTCTCTGGAGGCTGAGCCATTTGCAGTAACCTTGGCTAACTATGGTTAGCAGTGAGGGTCATGTGCTGAGGCAGTATGAAAAAATGAAGTATGCAGGCACTTTTGTGAATAAATCAACATTCATACTTAGCTGTAAAACACACGTACCCCCACAGAATAGGTGATCTTATTACAATGTGAAGTTACTTGCTGCACAAATTATTATTATTAAACATATCAGTGAGGAAAGGGCATGTTAAACTGCTGCCTCCTTATTCCTTTAAGCTGAAATTACTAATAGTGTCTATGGTTTTTGTGACAACATATTTGCTAATTAATAAAATAATTAGCTGTTGTAATGAACTCATTCACATAACTGGGTATGTTAAAGACATTGTTGTAACAGGCAGCTCAACTGTTCAGTGCAGTGAGGAGCAGGAGAAAATAGCCAATGTAAACGAAAACTATGGTTGTTAGTAAGGTCCAAATGATAACACTGAAAGAGTTTAATTCAATTCAATTTGTATCAAATCAAATCAAATTTGATTTGTATAGCGCCAAATCACAACAAAAGTCATCTCAGGACACTTTACAAAGTAAGGTCTAGACCTTACTGTTATCAATATTATTACATAGGGAAAACCCAACAAATCCCCCTTGAGCAAGCACTTGGCGACAGTGGGGAGGAAAAACTCCCTTTAACGGAAGAAACCTCCGACAGACCCCGGCTCTTGGTGGGCGGCCTTCTGCCTCGACCGGTTGGGGTGAGTGGATAGAGGAGAGACAAAAGAAGAAAAGCAACAAGACACAACAATCAAACACTGATCAGGTCGATGTGGCCGGTGACTGCTCGTCAGAGA